AAACACCAAGGCGCACTGAAGTGGTACCTATTTATCTACTTGCAATTTCTTGCTTTCGAACTGCTAGGTTGGCAGGAGCTGGAACTAGAGACGGGAGCTCACTCCGTCATGCGGCACACTCGGATCTCGAACTGCTGAACTACCGACCCTCCACAGCCTGCAGTTTACAGGTTTTTTTATATATATATATATACACACACACAGAAGAATAAGTTAAAGCATAGTATTTAAACCGCAACATTTAAATTCGTAAAATCATTAAGTGCCAGTAACACAGATATCAATAAGTGCTAATGAGTTATGGCGGTCCACTCTTCGCATCCAGGCGGTCAGTCTGTTAAATGTTAAATCAGTGCTGATGTTAGGACGGGTGTTCCCTCTAAACTGAGTTGGTGTGCGCCAGCTCACCGTTTTTTAGCCTCCGGCTCACACATTTTTTGTCTCCGCTCAGGAAGGAGGGCTCCAGAGCAAACTAATTTATGCAGTCGCCAAATTGCTGGCTCGTGACTTTAAGGCCAGTAGCTCGCAAAGTAGGATTTTTGCTCACAGGACTCCATAGCTTAGAGGGAGCATTGGTTACGACCAGGGCCATAACATTTAGAGGCGGCACCCTCATCGAAAGCCTGGTGGAAGAGCTCCGTTTTACAGGCCCTGCAAAACTGTAGGAGGTCCCGCAGGGCCCTGATGTCATCCGGGAGCTTGTTCCACCAGTATGGGGCCGCCACAGAGAAGCCCCTGGCCCTCGTCACCGCTAGCCTGGCTTCCTTAGGGCCTGGAAGGGCCAAACGGTTTTGGGACCCCGATCTTAGTGCTCTCTGGGGAACATGTGGGGAAAGGCGGTCCCTTAGGTCAGTAGGTCCATGACCATATAGGGCTTTAAAGGTAAGAACCAGCACCTTGAACCGAATCCAGTATGCTATAGGCAGCCAGTGCAGTGCTTTTAGGGCAGGCGGGACATGCTCCCACACGGGGAGACACAGCACCAGCCTTGCCACTGCATTCTGCACCAGCTGCAGCTTCCGGATTTGGGACAAGGGCAGCCCCTATTAAATACTTTATTTTATGTTCCATAAACCTCTGTTGTTCATCTCCGTCTGTGTCTCGTCCGCCAAGTCAAATATCTAAGAAATGATTTTCTTGACGCATAAGTACAGACTTGGTCTAGCGGGTTTCCACTTGAGAGACCCTCAAAGGGAGCACAGAGCTTCCATACTTCCGATCCTTAATTCAGAGCTCGTATCCCCCTTTGTATTTGACTGTGGGAAGTCGGGGTATAAAGAACCTATAGGAGAGGCCAGAGTGGGGGGATTCGATAGTCTTCAGTCCAGAAAGCCCCGCAGCCTCCTCCTCCTCCGCCCCATAGTTCCTCAAGGGTCCTGGCTCTCAGAACGCTCGACTGACCCTCGACCGTCACAACTCTCTTGCGGATGGACCAGAAACACAGTCTCTCTCTACCTCACACTGCTTCTTAACCAACTAGTTTTCAGGAGACCACTAAAACTAAAATCCATCACAGATACATAAGATTTCACAGCTAAAAGAATGATACGTCTGCGATGATCTTCTAACAAAAGAGGTAACGTCTCCCTCCGTATGAGCTATTTAAAAAAAAAACAAATGAAGAATCAAAAGATTTCTCAGCTCAGAAAAATGATTGCATTCAAAGGTCACGCGATACAGGGTGTCTGCACCAAAAAGACGAAGAAGAGACTGGATTTATACCCCGCCCTTCACTCGGAGTCACAGAGCGGTTTACGATCTCCTTGTCCCTTCCCCTCCCCACAACAGACACCCTGTGAGGTAGTTGGGGCTGAGAGAACTCTTCGAGAACTGCCCTTGAGAGAACAGATCTGAGAGAAATTGTCACTGACCCAAGGTCACACCAGCAGCTGCATGTGGAGGAGTGGGGAATCGAACCCCGTTCTCCCACATTAGAGTCTGTGCACTTAACCACTACACCGAACTGGCTCACTACCCACACCACAGTCGCATACTCTGAGTATGGTATCTTAAGAGGCACAGTTACGCTCACCATTCGGGATACTCCGAGTCGGGTTTCAGTGCCACCTCGGGGCTTTCCTTGTAGATGTTGGTGCCCATGGAGTGTGTGGTGAGCAACGCCGCGTCCTTGCATATCTCAGGGCCCTTGAGCTCCTCCTTCGATCCGCCTTTTCCTTTAGCCTTCGGCACTGCAAAAACAGAGGGGCTGTGGCTTAGTGACAGAGCTCCTGCATTGCATGCAGGAAGTTCCCAGGTTCAATCCTCACCAGCTTCAGGTAAAGCATCACAAGGGTTGGGACAGGCCTTTCTCTGCCTGAGACCTACTGTCAGAAGAGACAGTACTGAGCCAGCAGGATTTGTGATCCATCTCGGTCTAAGGGCAGCTTTATGTCAGAAGAGAGCCCAGACAGCCACTGCTGATCTCCACAGTATATAGCAGGGATCCCCAGCACGGCGCCCATGGGCACCCCTGTGCCTCCCACCACCACCCCTGTGCCTGCCAAGTGTTTTTAGAAAGTGGGTGGGGCTTTTGCCCAGCAAGGCTTCTAATTGGCCGCTGGAGTCTGATCGGCTGCGCAGGTTTTAAGAACGTTCTTTCGAAAGCAGCTGCTGCTACTTCACCGTGAGAAAGAAGACAAGGTGCTGCAGCCATTTTGTGGCTCTGCTCCCCCACACCGTGTCAGAATTCCAAAGGTGCCCACAGACTTAAAAGGTTGGGGACCCCAGTTTCTAGAGTCATAGAATCCCCCTCTGTGCTTGCACTCATATGCATGATATCCACGTGTGTGTTGAGGGAAGGGTATTCTTGGACAGGGAATAACCTCTTCTGACACTTGCTCACAACCGTCTTGCAACTGGGCTTTTGCTCCCTCTAGTGGTCGATTCAATATTATACTGTGTTCTGTCCAGCATAAAAACCTGCAGTTTCAATCTGCAGGGAGATATCCCCCACACCGTGTCAGAATTCCAAAGGTGCCCACAGACTTAAAAGGTTGGGGACCCCAGTTTACAGAGTCATAGAATCCCCCTCTGTGCTTGCACTCATATGCATGATATCCACGTGTGTGTTGAGGGAAGGGTATTCTTGGACAGGGAATAACCTCTTCTGACACTTGCTCACAACCGTCTTGCAACTGGGCTTTTGCTCCCTCTAGTGGTTGATTCAATATTATACTGTGTTCTGTCCAGCATAAAAACCTGCAGTTTCAATCTGCAGGGAGATATGACAGATGTTAAGTGGTATAATATCAAATTGACCACTAGAGGGAGCACAATATGCACTGAAGGGGGGGGGAACCCTAAGCAATAGGAACACGCAAGTGAAGAAAATTAGAATGGCGAAGAGCCCACCCCACTCCCTGACACACGCCCACAATTTATTAACCAAAGCCTGGGGAGGGGGGGGGTCCACAATTAGGCCTACCACAGTGGTACTGCACTCTTCCTGTAAGAAATTCAAGACATAGGGAGGGAAAATTACAGATTTTTAAAAAATTCCTGATGTGGGGGGAAATGGCTAGGAAGAACCTTCCCCACCATCTCCTCAAAATACTAGAACTTGGAAGACCCCCGATGAAGCTGTTGGGCAACAGGTTCGAAACCAATGGGAGCCCTTCGCCACACTGTTCATAGTTAATCTGTGGAACTCACCGCCACAAAGTATTGTGATGGCATCCAAACTTAGACCTGATTGAAACAGGATCCTGGCAGGACTAAAAGAATTCATCCGTGGAACTTTGTGTTAGCATCCTGGCGTAAACTGGGCTACTACCTAGGCAAAAGAATCAACGTGTACAGAGACTGGCACCTTCCATGGGTCAAGCAAGGACATGCTAACTACACAATTGTAGCTCTCTGCACAATGGGGGGGGGGAGAATCCACCTTAAGTGAGATGCTGCATGCACACTACATTACACAGGTGAATTTTATTTGCCGCACCAGCATCAGCTTTATTTCAATCAAGGAGATCTGACAATCAACGCAACCACAGCACTCTACCCAACACATTTGTGGCGAACATCCCCTCATTTAGGCCTGTAAGGCCTGCCACAGGCTGGACTTTTCGTAGTTTTCTTTTACGGAGCTGTCTCCTGGAGGAGGTTAGGCAGACCTTCTCTTTAGCGGAATTCAGGTGGTGGGGCAAGTTTCTGCAGACAGGCTTTTGGCTTGGACTTAATCCCTTGTTATATTTAAATAAACAGTGCATTACATATAACACAGTACACTAATTTTCACATATTATATGTAATGCACTGTTCGTTTAAATATAAAAGGAATTGTTAATTAGTTACGTTTATCATGGTTGTTCTTCTTTTTTTGATGTATGCGTTTCTGTTTATTCTCTCTCCCTGTTTGTTTTTGGACCCGTCTAAACCCATCGGTCTCCAAGAGGATTAGACTGAAAGTAAAGGTGCATAGCATTGGACTGACATATGTGGGTGGGCTGTGATCTCAGGGATCGCTTTGGATCCAGCATGTTTTTATTGCCTCGAGTCCTTGCTGGTGTGAGCATGGCGTCTCAAGTTTTTTTTAAAAGAAATACATGTGCCATTAAAATGGAGCCTCCTTGTTCAGAGGCAGTGTACCTCCGAATACCAGGGGCAACCTTGCCGGTCCCTGACTAGGAACTGGGATGCTGGACTAGACAGGCGCTTGGTCTGAGCCAGCGGGGCTCCCTCCTAATGATGCTCTGCCGGGGGCTGGCTCGGATTCCCAGGAAAAAGGACCCCCGCCCCCTATAATGCATCAGTTTGCAACAAAGCGGCTTTTAAAACCGCGCTGACCGGTCCCTTCCCGGGGTCTCCTTTGGCCAGCGAGGGGCCCTCCCCTCCATTCCGCCCCGCCAGCCTCCCTTCGGCCTTACCGACTTTCTTAGCGTAGGTCCGGAGCGCCAGCCTGGTCCAGAGGGGACCTGGGCCGCAGGGGACCGCCCGCAACAGTCCCGCCAAAGCCATGCCAGCCTTCCAATCGCGCCCCTCGCCTGCCTGGAGCGCCCTCTTGGCGCACAGCGCGCGGCGATGACGCAGAATCCAGGGAGCAGGCTGGGAATTGTAGTTTGCAGGCTTCTTCCCCCCACGAATGGAACTTGTTCCTACCCCACATTAGAACCGGCTTTTCTCAGTGCCCAATACGCACTCAGTCCTACAAGGGCATGTTTATGGGAAAAGCGGGACAGGTAGATTGCAATCGATTAGAGCAAAGTTGGAGTCCAGTGGCGCCTTGGAAGACCAACAAAGTTTAATTTGGGGTGGAAGCATACACACTGGAAAGCTTTTAAGCTTTTACCGAGAATTAAACTTTGTTGGTCTTCAAGTAGAGTTGCCAGGTCCAGGTTGGAAAATACCTGGAGACTTTGGGGGTGGAGCCAGGAGAGGGCGTGGTTTGGGGATGGGAGGGGCCTCAGCATGGTACAATCCCATTGAGTCCACCCTTCAAAGCAGCCATTTTCTCCAGGGAAACTGATCCCTGTCAGCTGGAGGGCAGTTGCAAAAGCGGGAGATCCCCAGGCCCCACCTGGAGGCTGGCAACCCTATCTTCAAGGTGCCATTGGACTCACACTTTGTTCTAATTTATTGCCGTCTACCTGTCCCGCTCCCGCCTTTAAGTTTAGCGAAGTGTAATTTCGGGTGTAAGCTTTTACCCAAAATTAAACTTTGTTGGTCCTAAAGGTGCCACTGGGCTCCCAACTTTGCTCTAATTTTATTGTAGTCTACTTGTCCCGCCTTTAAGTTTAACAAAGTCTAATTTGGGCTTTTACCCAGAATTAAATTTTGCTGGTCTTAAAGGTGCTACTGGACTCAAACTTTGTTCTGTTGCTTCAGACCAACCCGGCTACCCACCTGAACCGATTTTCTTGCAATAAATTAGGGTTACCAAGATTTAAAAAGCAAAAACCAGGACATATTTCCCAACTGACTACTTTCAATAAGTGATCACTATGGCAAATCTCCTTTTAAATACCCCAACTCTTTTAAGTTGTGATCATTGCAAGTAACCCTAACTTTCCAACCCCAGAAGAAGGCATTTTCATCAGTTTTTTAAAAAGAACCCCAAAGAGGATGGACACCAAAACAAGAGGGCATCTGAAAAGAGGGCATTTGGTAACCCTAAAAAAATATTTTGGTATCATAAATAAAATAAAATAAACAATTATTTATTTATAGTTGGCTTTTCTCACCTCAAGTCATGGTAGAGATGGCCTACTCTAAGAAATATTGTATTGAATACAAAGCACTTTGAACACTGAAATGCTAAGATTATATAAACGCTAATGTTATTATTAATAATAACCATTATTGTTATTAACAAAGGGAAGTGTGAGGACACACTAAGCCAAATCGCTTGCTCACAACTTTAATGCCAGTAGCTCACAAAGTAGAACTTTTGCTCACAAGACTCCACAGCTTTTAAAGTCCTGGAATAACCTGAATATCATATTAAAGGTGATGAAGGTATTGATTATGGTTTCAGTACTTGATTCTGTATTCCACTATTAATTAAATAATTAGTAAGAATATAATTTAGATTTAGATAAACAACTAAGACAATATTTAGGATTTTACAGCGATTCAATTTTAGCATAGAAGTTCGTTCAGTTGTTAAAGATGTAATTTCTTTTATCACTAATAGATTATTGCTAACCTTAGGAAAGTTCTTATTTCTTATTTAAAGAGATAATCTATCCCAACATTCTGTTATATTGATGTTTTAACGTCTGCTTCTATATTTGAAATATGCAATACATTTGGTAATATATCTGATTTTACTTGTTGTACGTAACAACTCATATTATTTGACAAACCTGATGAATTTATATTTTCTCCCACCCCCTTTTCCTTCTGTATCCCACCTTCTTTCTGAGAAAAAAATCATCATCATCATCATCGTCATCTCCATAGCTTAGAGGGTGCATTAGCTCTATCACCTTGTTCACATTATTTTCCTCTTAAATACATTTTAAGACAGCCCATCATCTTTGTAATCCAGGTACTAAAAGGCTGGGCCTACCTATCCATTCTGGGTGACAACGAATGATGCAGGGTTTTCAACCTCCAGGTGGGGCCTGACAATCCCCTGGAATGACAACTTATTTCTTAACTACAGAGAACAGTAACAGTTCCCCTGGAGGAAATGGCTGCTTTGGAGGGTGGAATGTCTGGCAGTATACCCTCCCCAAATCCTGCCCTCCCCAGGCTCCACACTCCTACATCTCCATAAATTATCAATGCCAGAGATGGCAATCTTGCTCTAGAAGTCACATACTCTGGTGTGAGCCCCTAGAAATGCAAGGTGTGTTGTGGTTCCAGGTGGTCGTCCATGTTGGTCTGAAGTTTGGAAATGTGCAGGAAAGGGTAATTAATCCAGGGATTGGCACGCCTTACATACAAGGAAAGTAGGGTTGCCAGCTTCCAGGTGGGGCCTGGGGATCTCCCACTTTTACAACTAATCTCCAGCTGACAGAGATCAGCTCCCCTGGAGAAAATGGCTGCTTTGGAAGGTGGACTCCGTAGCATTGTACTATACTGAGGCCCCTCCTCTCCCCACACCCCGCCCTCTCCTGGCTCCACCCCCAAAGTCTCCAGGTGTTTTCCAACCCAGACCTGGCAACCCTAAAGGAAAGGCTTGGGGCTTTTTCATTTAGAAAAAAAGACTCCAATACAACTGGGACAAGGAACATGATGTATAACATTATGCCTAAGAACAAATTTAGAGTCCAGGGGCACCTTTAAGACCAACAAAGGTTTATTCAAGGTGTGAGCTTTCGTGTGCACGCACACTTTTACAAATACATTGGAATGGAAGGTAAAGGTTCGAACTTATAGGCAGAGGCTGAACAGCAAAGTAACATGTAACCTGATGAAGATGTTTTAAGATACGCAAAGACAAAACTAAATAACAAGATAAGGTTGTAAGGTCAACTTTATAACCTTTGATTTCAGTTTGATTTAATTAAGAGGGGAAACAATAAAGCAATAAATATGTCGAAATAGGAGATAAATGTGTAAAGGTATCTTTTCTAATTGTGGGAAGTAAACAGACTCTCCATTTGTCTCCTCAGGTGTGGAAGTCATTTAATTATTTTTTTTCTATTTGAGGTGAGTGCAGTGTTCTATCAGCAAAACAGTGTGTTGCAGTCAGTGTCGGGAGCAATGTTCCCTCTAACCTGTGAGCAAAAAATAAATATGTCAAAATAGGAGATAAATGTGTAAAGGTATCTTTTCTAATTGTGGGAAGTAAACTGAGACTCTCCATTCGTCTCCTCAGGTGTGGAAGTCACTTGACATTTTTTTTCTTATTTGAGGTGAGTGCAGTGTTCTATCAGCAAAACAGTGTGTTGCAGTCAGTGTCGGGGAGGTCTTAAACATGGAAGCATAAAAGTATTTTGTTGATTATTTATATATTTATAAAGTGGCTTAACTACATTGTTCTCCCCTCTTGTGTTTTATCCTCACAACCTGTGAGGTAGGCTAGGCCAAGAGAGGATGACTGACCCAAGAGTGGGAATTTGAACTCGGCTCTTCCAGATCCTAGTCTGACACAGCACCCACTACATCACACTGGCCCTTCTATAAACATCTGTTATTCTATATACATGTGTGTTTTTGTAAACATTTAACCCAGGGAGCAGATTTAAGTTGGAAACCTCCGTACCCTGCCTCTTGGATTATGTTTGGCTCTCTTTTTTCCTCTTGCCCCTTTGATTTCTGCCCTAATAAATAGGTGCTGGGCAATGTTCCCTTTAAGCTGTGCAGCCTTATGAGCAAAAAATCTACTTTGTGAGTTACTGGCATTAAATTTGTGGGCTAGCGATTAGGGTACTGCATAAATTAGCTTGCCCTGGAGCTATCCTTCCTGAGCGAAGAAAAAATGTGTGAGCCGGAGGCTAAAGAACTGTGAGCTAGCTCACTAACTCAGCTTAGAGGGAACACTGGTGCTGGGCCTTTGCTCCGGCTCAGAGGGGAGGAAGGGATAACAACCACAGCTTGTACTTCTGGGCCTTGAAGAAACGATGGCAACTATAAAGCCATCATGGGTTTTTAAAGGGAATTTAATACTTTCCTCTCCAGCCTGGCAACCTGATCTGTGCAGATGATCTGCCATCCCATCCCCCCCCCCCATCTGACAAAGGCGCAACTTCTGCAGGGTGCTGAGTAACTCGAGAAAGCGTTTATCTCTGCGGGAAGTCAATTGTGAAGGCAGAGAGGGGACCATTTTATTTGCCTAAAATGCAAGACATCCTTTTGAGAGGCTGAGCCCAGCTAGTGAAGGTAGGTAGGGATTCTCTTCCAGTTTGGTCCCATTTCAGCAGGGAAAGGCGTCGGCAAGTTTCTGGGTGACGCAGCATTCTTTCTCATCGAGACTCCCATTCTTTTGGGTAGATAGATACTCGGTGCTTACAGAAGAAATAGGGTTGCCAATTCTGGGTTGGGGAATCCCTGGACGTTTTGGGGGGGGTGGAGCTTGGGGGGGGTTGTAGATGGGAGGGACCTCTGTGGGACACAATGCCATAGAGGTCACCTTCCAGAACATCAGTTTCCTCCAGGGGAACTGATCTCTGTCGTCTGGAGGTCAGCTGTGATTCCGGGAGATCTCCAGGTCCCACCTGGAGGTTGGCAACCCTAGTTAATGGAGGGCCTGCTTGTTGAGATTTCCTACGCTGTGCTGTGGTGGTTAGAGTGTTGGGCTTAAAATCAGGGAGAGCTGGGTTCGAATCCCCCCACCTTGGTCATAAAGTGACCTGGGTGGGTGTGGCTTTCTCTTAGTAAAGGTAAAGGCTCCCTTGCTCGAAAGCCAGTCGAATCCGACTCTAGGGTTGCGGTGCTCATCTCCGTTTCAAAGCCGAAGAGCCAGTGCTGTCTGAAGACGTTTCCGTGGTCATGTGGCCGGCATGACTAAACACCGAGGCGCACGGAACGCTGTTACCTTCCCACCGAAGTGGTACCTATTTATCTACTTGCAATTTCTTGCTTTCGAACTGCTAGGTTGGCAGGAGCTGGAACTAGAGATGGGAGCTCTCTTAGCTGAACCTAATTAACCAGTGTGTGTGTGTGGGGGGGGAAGATACATGCACGCACCCTAGACCTCCTTCAAGGTAAGCCAGGATTTTTTAAATAGCGATTAATTTAGTTCACCATCTGGTTTCCCTCAGTGGCCAGCCAGATGCCATGGAACCCTTACAAAAAAGTCATGGAGGCCAAAGCGTCACAACCAATTGGCATTCAAAGTACACTGCTGCTGAACATGTCCCCATATGTTCCCCAGAGAGCACTGCGATTGGGTGCTCAAAATCACCTGGTCCTCCCAGGCCCCAGAGAAGCCAGGCTTGCAGTAACGAGGGCCAGGGCCTTCCCGGTGGGGGCTCCATACTGGTAGAATGAGCTCCCAGAAGACATTAGGGCCCTGCGGGACCTTCTAGAGTTCCGCAGGGCCTGTAAAATAGAGCTCTTCCACCAGGCATTCGCGTAAGGAGCCGCCCGCAGCCATCTGAGGCCCTGGCCCCAACACCGCCAACACCATCAATATTAATAACATCATAACATCATTACCATCACTGAATAGCCTGTGCCTTGCTGATACGACCCAGAACATGTGCTAACTGTGGACCCGCCATGGGATATATGTTATTACTAGCACTTTATGTATTCTTTTAAACTTAATTGATTGTAATTTTACTTGAGAGATTGTTATACCTGTAATAATGATGTGAACCGCCCTGAGCCTGCTGCAGTGGGGACAGCGAGATAGAAGTCAAATAAACAAACAAACAAACACGGAAGCTCCATCTAGTCACCAACAGGGGTCATTTTGTAGAAAAAGAGGTGCAGGAGCTCATTAGCATAGCTCATTAGCATAACTTATTTGCATATGCCACACCCCCTGACATCACCGGAAGTGTGTCAGAAGGCAACACCCACCGCTCAGGCTCCACTGGACTGTTTTGGATTGCTAGCTATTGGGGGGGGGACATGCAGATCTGTCCTCGCAGAGGAGGGAGAGCTTGTACCTGAATAAAACTTGGTCTTAAAGGTGCCACTGGACTGTTTTGGACTGGGGTGCGGTGGGGGGGCTCTGCAGCTTACCTGGCTGCTTCTTGCTCTGACTGAGGGCTGCTGGGAGCAGGGGGTGGGGCTTGTTGCATGTGCCCGCCCCCTGTGCTCTTTACTGCCAGAGCTCCGCTCCTGTGCGCTCCTGCAGGAAATGACCCCTGCCAATGACCGATAGCTGTTGGTGCACCTCTCCTCTTCCATTAATTTGTCTAACTCCCATTTAAAGGAGCTAGTTAGCCATCCCTAGGTCCTATTTAGGGTTGCCAGCCTCCAGGTGGGGCCTGGAGATCTCCCGATGTTACAATTGATCGCCAGGCGACCAAGATCAGTGTCCCTGGAAAAACTGGTTGTTTTGGAGGGTGGCTGTATGGCAGTAATACTCAGCTGAGGTCCTTCCCCTCCACAAACCCCACCCTCCCCTGGCTCCACCCCAAATATCTCCAGGAATTTCCCAACCTTGAGATGGCAACTGGAGGAGTAGGGAGTTTCACGTGTGTTATCCATTGAAAGCAAGCCCTCGTTTTGTGCTCCCTGGATTCGCTACTTTCATTGGGTGCCCCCAAATTTCAGTATTTTGGGGGTGGAAAAAAAGATATCTCTCTCTGGCTACTTTCTCCATCTCTAGCCACTTTCTCCATTCCAGATGGTCGGGCGTGTTGGTCTGAAGCGGCAGAACAAATTTAGAGTCCAGTGGCACCTTTAAGACCAAGAAAGGTTTATTCAAGTTTTGAGTTTTTGATTGCATGCACTGGATTCTGAATCTGTTCCTAGGCATAATGTTATGCATCATGTTCCTTGTCCCAGTTGTATTGGATTTTTTTTCTAAACTAAAAAGCCCCAAATTATTTAGCCTCGACACAGAGAGTACTCCATCTTTCTGTGTGATACCTCTGATGATGCCAGTCACAGTTACTGGCGAAACGTCAGATTCTACAATGCCAAGACCACGGCCGCACAACCCAGAAAATCTACAGCAACTAATATTTAGCCTTTCCTTGTATGCAAGGTGCACCGCTAACCCCTGGATTAATTACCCTTTCCTGCACATTTCCAATCGGCGCTACGATACATTGCTGGCATTTGGGAGACCAGCAAAATGGGAGAAAACTACATCTCCCAGAATCCTTTGCGAGCACATGCTCAATTCAGGGGAATAGCAACAGGAAGGGCAGGGGAGAAGAAAAGTGTGGCAGGCAGGACTTTCAAAAGTACATGCGAGTGGCCCTGATCCAGGATTATCGAACCCTCCCCCCAAAAGGCAACCCACAAAGAGTTAGATCTCCTCTTGCACCCTTCCTCCTCTCTGAGAAACTTTGGTCAAAAAGTAAGTTTGTGCATAAGTTTTTTTTTTATGTTTCTTTAAAAGTTGTAAGTGGGGGGGGGTAACTTTGATGGGGAGGTGCAGCTACTTCTAAACTGTCTTGCTCGGGACCCAGTTCTGTTACATTCATGATGAGATTCACAGCGCAGTTCTGGGCATGTCTACTTGGAAGTAAGTCCCAGTGTGGCTTATTGCTAAACAAGGTTGCATAGGATTGCAGCCTGAATTCCAAATAAGTCTGCCTAGGATCCCATCCTGGGTATTTTTTTAAACAAGCCCTGCTGAGATTTTTCTCCCTGAGAGAAGAAAGTGTGCAGGTTTATAGCTTAGAATTGCACATTGTACATTGCATAACAATATCATTTACTCTCCATAAAACATCTATGTGTTGCTCAGCTGCCGCACAGGCCCTGAACTGAAAAGAGTGGGTGCTGCTGAAATAAGAGCTTCACACCAGTGACAGCCAGAGTGGTGTAGCAGTTCTGGACTAGGATGAGGGTGGGGACCCGGGTGCGAATCTCCACTTGTGCCATGGAAGCCCACTGGGTGACCTTGGTCCAGTCCCAGAACCTTACAGCATTGTTGTGAGGATAAAACTGGAGAAGAGCAGACCAATGTAAGCCACCTTGGATCCCCTTTGGGGACAAAAGTGGGATACGTGATGTAGTGGCTAAGATTGTTGGATTAGGATCTGGAAGACCCAGGTTCGAATCCCCACTTGTACCATGGCAGCTCACCAGGTGACCTTGGGCCAGTCATACTCTCTCAGCCTAACCTACCTCACAGGGTTGTTGGGAGGATAACATGGAGGAGAGGAGTACAATGTAAGCCACGTTGGGTCCCCGATGGGGAGAAAAGGGAGGTAAAAATGATTGACTTAATTAATTAAATAAAGGAAATACATGAAAATAAATTTCTCAAACCACACAGTCATCAGCATTTTAAAACTAAATATGCATTTCCCACCCTTGGACTGAGTCTCCCCTTTATGGGCTTAATATCTGGATTTACCAAGTGGCTATTCCTCCGTCCTGCAGTGATGCATCCCTCAGGCTGTCAACTGTTGTACAGGGTGGGATATGTTTTAATAAATAAAATAGTACTTAAAACCTGTGGAGGAAGATAACTGGGGCTGCAGGAATAATACCACCACCACCGGACTGTAGAAGAAGGAGGAGGAGATTGGATTTATACCCCACCCTTCACTACCCAAAGGAGTCTCAAAGCAGCTTACAAACTCCTTTCCCTTCTCCTCCCCACAACAGACACCCTTGTGAGGTAGACCGAGAGAGCTCTTTCGAGAACTGCCCTTGAGAGAACAGCTCTGATGGAACTTATGACTGACCCAAGGTCACACCAGCAGCTGCACATGGAGGAGTGGGGAATCAAACCCGGTTCTCCCAGATTAGAGTCCGCGCTCCTAACCACTACACCAAACTGGCGCTCTGTCCTGCTTCTGTGGCACAGGAGTTACATAAGAACATAAGAGAAGCCAATGCTGGATCAGGCCAATGGCCCGTCTAGTCCAGCATTCTGTCACACAGTGGCCAAAAGTACCAGGTGCCGTCAGGAGGTCCAGCAGTGGGGCCAGGACACTGGAAGCCCTCCCACTGTGGAGGGAGATGGGAGTTATGGTGGGAGCCTTTACTCACAGTTTCCAAGTTGTTTTAGAGCATGCAGGAATTTGGAAGTGCCTTCATTCTTAAAAGGTAATTTCTAAAAAAAACTTTTCGGTGTCAGCCGTTCACGTCCAAGGTACATCTTGAGGGCAAACGTTGATTTCTCATTTGCTCAGCAGTTTAAAATCTTTGTATGTCCCCTCCCTGTATAAGTAGCAGAAAGTCAACTCACAGCATGATAAACTATTTGGAGGGGGCTGTGGCTGAGTGGTAGAGCATCTGCTTGGCCTGCAAAAGGTCCCCGGTGTCTCTAGCTAAAGGGATCAGGTAGGAAGAGATGGAAAAGACCTCTACCTGAGACCCTGGAGAGCTGCTGCCAGTCTGAGTGGACAATATTGTCTTTGATGGGCCAAGGGTCTGAGTCAGTATAAGGCAGTTTCATGGAAATGGGGATGGGAAATCAAGCCCTTCAAGGCCATAACCAGGCCTCGGGGTGTGTCCAGTAGCCTCCCTCTCCCCAGAAGCCTGATGGGGCTCGGTCAGACCATGGGGGATCAGTAGCGGTGTTGGGGTGATCTCTTCCGCTGCCTGTTCCCTGGGCAGACTCAGCGGACCGTTGACTGTCAAATGGTTGCCATTGATCAGCTGGTTGGCAGGTAACAGCAGAACAACTGCATGGGGGATCAATAGCGGTGTTGGGGTGATCTCAATCCCTGGGCAGACTCAGCGGACCGTTGACTGTCAAATGGTTGCCATTGATCAGCTGGTTGGCAGGTAACAGCAGAACAACTGTGTGCTGAAATACCTGCAAGAGTGAAGATACAAAAAGAGACTTCAGCAAAGCGAAACACGTGTGTAATCAGCAATAAATCTGTACATAAAATCCATCATAGGAAATATTTGTTGTTGTTCAGTCGCACAGTCGAGTCCGACTCTTCGCGACCCCATGGACCAGCTCCCGCCAGGCCCTCCTGTCTTCCGCCATCCTCTGAAGTTGGCTCAATTTCATGTTCGTTGCATCGATGACACTGACTAACCATCTCA